TTGTTAGCCCTTGGTATTGTCCATCTTTCTTAAATTGTAGTCTTTCTAATAGACGAGCAGTAGTATCTCACTGTAGTTTTAAGTTGCATTTTCCTAATGCATCTTTTGATGTGCTTAAGATCTGTATATCTTTGGTGAAATGTCCAAATGTTATTATCATTTTTAAAAGTTTGATAGTTTTCTAATTTTTCAATTTTGAGAGTTCTTTGTCCTTTCTAGATATAAGTCTTTTATTGGATAAGTAATTTGCAATTTTTGTCCTCCCAGTCTGTGACCTATTTTGGGTTAATTGTTGTATATGGTGCAAACTATGGGTTGAGATTCATCTTTTTGCGTATGGGTATTCAATTGTTCTAGCATTGTTTGTTGAAACAACTGTTTCTCAATTGAATTGCCTTTGTACCTTTGTGGAAAATCAACAAAGGTCTATTCCAGGACTCTCTGTTCCTTTGATCTATATGTCTTTCCTTTTGTCACACTGGCTTGGTTACAGTAGCTTTATAGTAAACCTTGAAATCAGGTAGTGTGAGTCTTCCACCACTGTTCTTTTTAAAATTCTTTATTCTAGTTCCTTTGTCTTTCCATAGATATACATTTTAGAAGTCAGTTTGTTGCTTTTTGCCCAACAAATCCTGCTGACATTTTGATTGGATTTCACTGAATCTATCGATCAGTTGAGGCCGAATTAACAGCAGTATTGAGTCTTCCAATCCATGAACAGTTTGTCTCTCTGTAGGTCTTTGACTTCTTTCATTAGTGTTTTGTAGTTTTCAGCATACAGAGATGTCGCATATACTTTGTTAGATTTATAACCAAATGTGTCATAAACCTTGGTATAACTAAACATTTAATGTTTTTTAGTTTTAATGGAACTTTTAAATTTTCAATTTCAAATTGTTCATTATTAATATGTAGAAATAGGATATTTAAAATATACATTGACTTTTTTTGCAACCTTGCTAAACCCACTTATTCTGAAAGGGGTTTGTTGTTTGTTTTTGTGTATTGTAGATTGTTTGGAATTTTCTGTCTAGATAGTCATGTCCTCTGCAAATAGAGACATTGCTATTTCCTCCTTTTCAATCTATGCTTTTGATTTTGTTTTCTTACTTTGTAGTGTTGAATAGGAGTGGTGAGAACACACATCCTTCCCTTGTTCCTGATCTTAGAGGGATAGCTTTCAGTTTTTCACGATTAAACGTGATATTAACTGTAGGGTTTTTCGTAACTGCCCTTTATCAGGTTGAAGTTCCCTTGTATTTCTACTTTGCTGAGTTTTTAAAAACCATTAGTGGATATTAAGTTTTGTCAAATGCTTTTTTACGTCTATTCAGATGGTCGGAGGGTGTTTCTTCTTTAAGTCTGTTGATGTGATGAATTAGATTATCACCTTTGGGATGTTGACCTAGCCTTGCACTCCCAGGGCAAACACCATTTTTTCATTCTGTGCATCATCTTTTTTTAATATATATTGCTGGATTTGATTTACTAATATTTTGTTAAGAATTTTTGAGCATTTGTTTATGAGTAATATTTATATGTGGTTTTGTTTTATTGCAATGTCTTTTTCTGATTTCATTATCAGGGTAAGGTTTGTCTCTTAGAATGGATTGAGAAATGCTTCTTCCTCTTCAGTTTTTTGAAGAGTTTGTATACAATTGGTGTTACTTATTCCCTACCTGTTTTGTAGAATTTTCTAATAAAGCTATGGTTTCTTTGTGAGAAGATTTTTAATTACAATTTCATTTTCTTTAATACATAGAAGGCTATGCAGGTTACCATTTCTTGAGTGAGTTTTAGTGGTTGTGTCTTTTAAATAATTTATCCCTTTCATCTTAGTTGTCAAATAGTTTGTCATAAAGTCATTCCTAGTATTTTCTTATTATCTTTTTAATATCTGTGGGTTCTTAATGATATTACTTCTTAAAAATTCCAGATATTGGCAATTTGTGTCCTTTTCTCCTTTTTCCTGATTACCTTGGCTAGAGGTTTGTCAATACCACTGATCTTCTCAAAGAAGGAACATTTGGTTTCATTGATTTTTTTTTTTCTTTTTTCTGTTTTCCATTTCATTGATTTCTTTATCATTTCCTTTCTTCTCCTTACTTTGGATTTAATTTGCTCTTTTCTAGTTTTTATTTAGGTAAGAGCCCAGATCACTGATTTGAAAACTTTCTCATGTTGAGAAAATGATTTAATTCAACATGGATTTATTGCATACCTCCTTACGTAATTTTTGGAAGGTGCTTTGGAAAATACTGAGCTATCAAATGAGTCCCTAGTGTTTAGAAGGCTAGTTGCATTTTCGAAAGTGAGTTTTTTCCCCTCGAATATCACCGTAAGGCTCTGTTTGGTTACATGTACAGGGTTTTAGAGTATGAAGATCATTGGAAACTGTCATAGTGCTGCAGTTGATCCTTGAAGGGTAGAGAGGATTCAGTGAAGCAGAGGTGGAGAGTTGATCACAGAGTTGGAGAGAATCTGAGAGGTTGGCAAGCCCATCTCCCATCACAGAGTTGGAGAGAATCTGGGAGGTTGGGTACTGAGGCCCAAAGTTAATACAAGATCAGATAGACAGATGATAGAAATAGATGGGTCTGGCTAGAAGAGAATTGGGTTTTTTTGGTTGTTGTTTGGTGGGCGGTGGGATAGCAAGAAGCGTGGCAGAATGAAGTGTGCAGCAGGCTGTAGCGTAGATCTCAAATTTTAGACAATGATAATAGCATGTACAGACGCAGGAAGAACGCCATCTTGAATGAATTAGGAGGCAATTCGATTTGGGTTAATTTGTGTGCTTTGATTTCTTTAATGTGTATACTACTTTCGAAAAGCCATAAACGACTTAGTATAGTGGAGTTCTGTAGAAATTGCTAAGTAAGACCAGGAAAATTCAGGGGTCTGAAGATTCATATTGAGAGTGAATAAGCAAAGACTTGGTAAAATCATGGTTTATAGGTGAAGAACCAGCCAGCAAGGAATAAATGCCTCATTTATAGATACATAGTTTGTGGCAGAGCTAGAACTAGAAAAGACTCCAGGCCCCATTATCTTGCCAGTGCCCACACGGCACCTAGCCCTGGGTTTCTCTCAGCAAAAGCTAGCTATGGCTCACCAAGGCTGTTAATGCTGAGAATAAAGAAGTAACACAGTCTCGGATCTCAAGCAATGCATTCTAGTGGGCAGTCAACTGCAGTATTGTTTGTCTGATTCTAAAATACACTTAAAAGAAGGCAACATTGAGAGACCTGAGGGAGAGCGTCTGGGAAGGTATTCCTAGAGGAGGTGAAGCTGGATTGAGGCCAAAGGGACATGCAGGAGATATCCCAGTGGTTGTGGGTCTAGGAAGAGTATGTTGGAAGAAAGGATATAGTGTGACCTCTGTGTAGGTAAATGAATAAAGGAGGCAGACATCGACTATGTACTATGAATGTTGGCTGTGGCAGCCAGAAGGAAGAATAACACCGGGTTATGAGCTATCAGAATGAAATTAGGGCCGGGTGCCATGACTCACACCTGTAATCCCAACACTGTGGGAGGCCGAGGCAGGTGAATCCCTTAAGCCTAGGAGTTCAAGACCAGCCTGGGCAACATGGCAAAACCCTGTCTCTACAAAGATACAAAAATTAGCCGGGCATGGTGGCACCTGCCTGTGGTCCCAGCTACTCAGGAGACTGAGGTGGGAGGATTACTTGAGCCCAGGAGACAGAGGTTGCAGTGAGCTGAAATCACACCACTGCACTGCAGCCTGGGCAACAGAGCAAGACTCTGTCTGAAAAAAGAAAAAGAAAAAAGAAATTAGACTTGAGGGGCAGGACAGTACTATGTTCTTTGTAAATCTCAGTTTATACATAGAATATATGAATGGATTTGTTTAATAATATTATATAAAAAGAATATGACATAGTGAACACAGCACTTATTTCTCTTTCATGGAAGTTATTTATGCCTAACTGCTGTGAAATCCTCCTTGGGCACCTGAGACATCCACCAGAGGAAAAGCAAGCACAGCATGGCAAGCAGCGAAAAAGCTACTTGGGCCAGGCCCTGTGAGCTCAACTCCTTTCTAGGCAATGACAAACTTGTTTCGTATTGTTGAGAACACACACAGGTGCTAGAGGCAGACAGGCCTGGGTCCTCATCCCAGCAACCTTGCCCCTTTTTAGCTGTGTCACTTGGGAGGATTACCTAGCCTCCCTGAGGAACTTTTTCTCATCTGTGAAATAGGGATAATAATATTCATAAGTGATTAGAAATTCTGCATCCTCTACTGGGAATTTTGTCCGTGAGCTAGATATGGGTTTGATTTTTCACCTTTTTATTTGAAAATTTTAGTTGGATCCTTAAATTATTAATCACTTTAAAATCATGTGCGATTCTTTTGTTATGTTTGGTGTATAAAACATGTTGACTTGAGACAATGTTTATAGACGTTTATCCTCCTTCAACTTTCTTTCCTCTCAGTGTTTAATACTTTTTTTCCTCCTTTAAGATGAAATTAGCAATGATTCCTCTCTGGTTGTGGGTGTACTTGAAGCCATTCTGAAAGGCTATGGTTTCCAAATCTGGCCAGGTGTCAGAATCACCCAGGGAGCTTATTTAAGGAAGGGTTTTTAATCCCCATCTCCCAGAGTTGAATGATTTAGTGAGGTGGAGTGCCAGGAAATACATTTTTATAAAACTTCCCAGTTGAATTTGATATGCGGCAGGGTTTGAGAATCAAGGTTAATTAGGCATATAAAGTCATCCAGGCAAACGATGTGTGGAGTAAGCCTGAGTTACTGTTATTTACCCCCAGAGACTCTGGCATAAGAATAGGAGATAATGAGGGGGCTTGATTAGATTTAGGACTGTATAATGGGGTTGGAGGCGTTAACTTGGCTTGAGAGGAGTAGTTACTAATATTTTATAGGCTATTACTGCAACTTTATTATATCAAATATTTTAAAACCAGGCAAATGGTCACTTTCTTTTTTTTTTGTTTGTTTTGTTCTGTTTTATAGATCGTGAGGACCAGTCAATTCTTTGCACGTAAGTAAATGTTGAATGTTCAGATTTGTTTTTGATTTTCTTGGAAAGTGGAGCAATTATTTTTGTCTGGGGGGAGGGGAGAAGTAGAGCAGTAATTTTTAAGAGTTTGATGTAAACCTTGCAGTTATTTTAAGATTAAGATTATGTAAGTTCCTTAAATTGAGTGTTAATGTTTAGTTGTCAGTCTGAGCTTTTCACACATTTTGTAATGTTTATCTGTGAAACTGACATCTTTAGTTCATATGTCCAGGTATAGGCCTACTGGACGTTTCGGTAATTTATTCTTTTTACTCAATAAGCATTTACTGAATATCATGTGCCTACGGTACTGTGTGCTCAGTGTTAAACATTCACAGGAGAATAAAACAATATCCACCACGGGACACAATTAGATTTGCACTTTAGAAAGATTACTTTGGCGGCAGTGTGAAAAACAGAGTGGAGGAAGAGTTGAAACAAGAGGACCAGTTAGGAGGCCATTCAGTCATCTAAGCAAGAAATGGTGAGGACTTCAGGTATAGAAGTGGTTGTGAACCTAGAGAGAAGTGGTTGAATTTAAGCAGTGTTCAGTTTAGGAGGCAGACTTAGCAGGACTTGGTGATTTACATGCATCAGGAAAAGGAGTTAAGAGAGAAGGTGAGTGGGTGAGATGAGCAGCAGCGTGTGCATTGGACCCAGCAGCAGAGAATGGAGGGTGCTGGAGTGGACTGGGGATAGCGAGAAGGTGGAAGCCAGGTGGCAGTTGAGGCATGAAGGGGAGGTGAAAATGTTAAAAATAAAATACAATTTTAAAGAAACTCAAGTATAAACCTACTTTCAGATAGTTTGAGAAGGTGAAGAGTAGTTGAGTGGTGGTAAGAGATCAATAGGATTTTAGTTGTTATTGGTGGTGTTTTAAGTGTGACCAAGATTCCATGGTGATGAGAGGAAGACAACTTTTTGGGAGTGGCTGGGATGGGGGCAGGGAAGAGAGTTGAGAGAGCAAGGAGGGTGATGAGGTGCAGAGCACAGGGGTTGGGTATCTGGACACAGTGAGGTCCTAATGGGGGGCGCAGCCCTTCTCCAGTGACGGGGCCAAGGAAGCAGATGAGTACCAATGTGGGTAAGTAGGGATGGGGAGCTGTGAATTGAGAAAATTCTAATCTAATGGTTTTTCTGTGAAGTAGACGACTTGGTATTTAATAAGAAAGGGGAGGAGTGGCAGGATAGGAGGTTTGAGGAGATGAGAGTTAGTTGGCTTTGTTATATGAATTTTCTGCTAGCATTGTTTAGCCTTGAGGAGTTATATAAATTAGCTTTTTCTGAACAACAAATCACCCTGAAACTTAGTGGGTCAAATCAGCATAGTTCTACAGGTTTCCCAGCAGTTGGATTGGGCTCGGCTGGGCGGTTCTGCCGATCTGGGCCAGACTCAGCTTTCTCACTGAAGGCTCACTCCTGTGTCTGCAGACAACTGTGGTATGACTGGCTGACTGTTGGTGGGGGTGCCTTGGTTTCTTCTCCACCTGGCGTCTCTTTCTTCAGCAGTCTTGCCCTGGCTTTTAACGTGGTAGCAATGTTCAACAGCAGCAAGAGGGCAAGCTCCAGTGTGTAAGCAGTGTTCAAGTTTCTGCTTGTGTCACATTCTGCTGTCCCATTCCCAAGCAAGACATGGCCAAGGCATGGCATGAGTCAGGTGGGAAACATCATAAAGTGAGGCATGAAACAATTGGGGCCATTACTTTAGTCGATCCACCACGGATATGTTGGAATACAACCAAATCCAGGTGGAGACTTGTACCTTCTCTTAGATGGAGTGGTTTGATGAAGACTTTTGGGACCGTCTGAAAGCAGGAAGCACTTAGGGAGGGAATGACTTGCTGTTTGACAGAACAAAAGTTTGTGAGTACTGATTTTGTTACCCAAAGTGACCATTACAGACGCTAGCACTTATAATTAGATGATCAACACCGTTTTAGTTAGTACCTTGTCACCAATTAATAGACTTGGATTTATGAGGTAAGTCTTCTAGCACCTGGGTTTATCTCTTCTTGGGTACAAAGTGGCAGTCATCAAGTACCATGTTTATTTTCTTCCGTTCTTTTTTAAATTGCTTTTTCCATTTTATTATGAATATTTTCAGACATAAAGCACAGTTGAAAGAATTTTGCAGTGAACACCCATGTGTCTACCACCTAGATTCTACTGTTAATATTTCACTGTACTTGCTTTATCCTGTCATCCACCAGTCCTTCTTATACTGTTTATATTGAGAGGAAAACTTTTCCTCTTGCAGCTTGGGTTCAGAATTTGGGGACCTGCAAGTTAACTGACAATGGACAGATTAACAGAGAAAAGATAAGACGTATTTACACAAGTGTACTCAGTGATGAGTCTCTTGTGGAATTATAGAAGTAAAAGGTGTATATCCTCTCCTTGACAAAAGGATCCCGTGAAGTTTAAGGCTTCAGTGGGAAAGTGTGGAGGGTTCTCTGTCTAATTGATGCTAATGAACAGTTGGGTTCACATTTTGCAGTGCTAAAGGGCACGCTTTTCTCAATCTGGGAACCTCCCTGGGAGGGGTCAATGGCAGCTGCATATACTGGGGGTTCTGCTAAAGTTTAGATGATGTTTCCTTATGTGGCTGCTGAGATGTTTTCAGTTTAAAGTGATTTTCATACCACTTTAGTGGGCTATTAATCCCTTCATTTGATACATTTCAAGTTCAATTGTAGATAGACAGCAGTACACTTTCCCCTAAGTACTCAAGCATATAGTGTTAACTGAAGCCCAGTATTTTCATCTTTTTCTTTTGAAGCAAAATTTACTTAGAATTAAATGCACAAAGCTTAAGTATTCATTTCCTGAGTCCTCGCATAACCTGAACGCTTCACCAGATGTAAACAATAATACCATCACCCCAGGAAGTTCCTTCTCCTGTCCCCCGTACATACCTACCTCCACCTCTCTCAGCCTCATTATAGTTTAAAATTTTTTAGATACCCCTGATATTTAGTAACAGCTTTTCATGTTCATATCTATTATAAAGTTACATCATGACCTGAAAAATATGAAAAAGTGAAACAGTGTATCTTAGATTTAAGAAAATATTATATGTTCCATGGTGCCTTTGAGGATCCACCAAATACGGTACCCCAAGTGCATGTGACTGGTATCTTCGTAAACTTAGTCCACCGCCAAGCTAATTAAGTTTTCTGCATGAGGTAACTAATTAGGGGCAATCACTCTGTGATTTTCCCCATGCTCATGTTAAATAAATTTGTATGCCTTTTCTTTTATTAAAAAACTATTTAGTCAACTTCACAAACTTTACATATGTAGCTATATACATATATATGTGTGTGTGTGTGTGTATATATATGTAGTACAACCAAAAGAAAATACAGGCCAGGCGCAGTGGCTCACGCCTGTAATCCCAGCACTTTGGGAGGCCAAGGTGGGCAGATCACCTGAGGCTGGAAGTTCGTGACCAGCCTGACCAACATAGAGAAACCCCATCTCTACTGAAAATACAAAATTGGCTGGGCATGGTGGCACATGCCTGTAATCTCAGCTACTCAGGAGGCTGAGGCAGGAGAATCACTTGAACCCAGGAGGCGGAGGTTGTGGTGAGCTGAGATTGCGCCATTGCACTCCAGCCTGGGCAATAAGAGCGAAACTCTGTCTCAAAATAAATAATAAAATAAATAAATACAACTAGATACAACATGGTTTTATTATTATTTCTTAATCAGTATTAAGTAGTTTGATAGCATCTCCTTAAGCTTTTGAGAAAGAAAACCTTTTTATGTGAGGAATGCAAGCCTCTTTAAGTTATCAGGCCCAGAGAGGCATTGGAATGAAACAAGTTTCACTCCCTCCTTGAACTAGGTAGTTACCTCTTAAAGCCACCTGTTACATGTGCTCTAGACTAACTGATGCCAGATAGCCAAAAAATGCCGTACACTAGATACTATAACTCATCCCCTATGGTTCAGCAATGTGTATCCAATCACTAATCAATGTTATCTCTATAAACCAGTGAGAATTCCTGTCACACAGCTTTGTATCAGCCCACTCCTTGTTCCCTCTTTCCTTTAAAAACTGCTTGTAACAAAGGCCCAAGGCAAGTTGAAGTGTGTCCTGGGCAGCTGGCTTCAACCTTGGCCCAAATACACTTTCTATATTAATTTTGCCTCAGCATCTTCCTTTAGGTCAACATTTCACTTTTTTAGTCATTTATTCTGTAATTTACTTTTCCCCCAAAAGGATAAACTTCTTAATTTACACTCCGGCCTTATCTGCCCATAGTTCCCCAGGTAACCTTTTGTTTCTGCAGACTCAGGCCAGGCCTTGTGAGCTCCTACTTGCAAGCCACCTGTTTAATGCTTATTTATCTGAGTATCCTAGTATTCTTGTGTGTGGTGAAGACACTCGGGCTGCATGCATCCTCTCTCAGGAGAGAGTAGTCTTTCACACTTGCACCCCCATAGAACTGGAGGTGAAATCCTGCTTCAGTGTAATCCTCATGTCGATTTTCCTTCTCATCAGAATTAAAATTCACAAAGCAGTCACCCTTGATGAGGAAATTACTCTGTTCTCTTACACCCCCCTTTTAAAGAATACTCTGTTTCTATTTTATGACTCTAACTGCTTTAGGCAAGTTGGTTTTCTCCTTTTAAGTATATTTGGGTATAATGTAAAAATTATAAAATAATGGTTGCCTCACAATGGCCTGTTAAGATGTGACAATCGATGTTTTTGTAAAGGAATCTTATCTATTATATACAAATATTACATTAAGTAATGATGGGAAGCCAGCCAGCCAGGATTGAGAACAGTTGATTCCTGCTAGGAATAAGGTACCTTAAAAGTTTTAAGGCAACTAAATTGATAGAATTGATTAAACAACTAAGGCAACAGTGTAATGTAGTTGAAAAAACATTGTGTGGTCAGATAGAACTCTGGTGTTCTTTCTTCTCCCAGCTCTGCCATGAACTGTGTGATTCTGGATCAGATTG